TGAAAATACTATTCCATATTTATTTTGTTTTCTTTTGTTCGTCTTTCTTTCTGAAAATTCTCATTAAATGTTGTTTAATTACAATTTTACCATTCTTATGCACTCACCTGTGTAACTGGAGGGGGAGATGGGTTCATGAGCCCTTACTGTTCTTTTATAGTTTTTTTCATTTTCCCTCATAGCTCCTCCTTTACAATCAGATATTCTTTGCCCTTGCCTGCGGTGACGTTGCTGTGTGCTATATACTTCACATTCCACGCATATTTGCCATTTAACCCACATTTCTAATAAGATGCTGATGTTTTGATGCAGTTACCCTGTATGCTGGGATGTATGTGGATGGAGAAGATGAGACACCAGAAGAGTTTTCATTGGTTCTGAGTGTACCAATGTTAAACTGATCTACTATTGGTTCAACTTCTGAGTGTCTTTAAATACATTATGATCTATTTCAGTAATTTTTGTAAACTATTAAAATTTGACCTTCTACTAATGTTTTAGAAACGTAAATCACTTAGCTGGTTAAGAAACTGACCAAGGGAAACAAGACTTTTTTTTCTATTAAGGAGGTTGCTGGTAATGGCTAAAAGTCATTGCTGCCTGAGATGCTCAGCTTTCAGAAGCTGGAGTCTGTTGGTCCTGTAAGTTCAGGACACAGCAATCTCAAGATTTCCATCCATCAGTCAGGTATTCATAGGCCTCAGTGTTGACCAGGATGAGTAATTAAAGGTCAGAGTCCCATCTCTCGGTGACTTCCCTTGCTCCATGTAAAGGCTACCAATGAGACACAAACATTTTCCACTGTCTGTGCACTAATTCCTTTCTATACAGTGATCTTTAATTAGTAATGAAAAATTATGTATTTGACAATACTAAAATTATTTCTATGAATTATACTTAGAAGAGAATTAAATGTGTATTTCAATCTAACAAACTATACAAACACTCATTTGGAGCATTTTCTTGGATGACGGCTACTGATGACAAAGTTTTCACAGTCTTGTGAACAAGAAACTAAAAGTCAAATACAAAAAACCCTCATTATGTGGAAAAATATTTATTAAACATTTTAATACAATATTCAACAGTAGAAAAATCAAGTGATGTATATGCAGAGTTTTCTGGCAGGGATCTCAGACAAGGGATGTGGCTAAATTGATTTAGTTTACACTGAAGTTCTAAACATATTCTTATCTATTACTTTACAAAGACTTAGAAAAAATGTACAATATCAGTATCTATCAGAGTTGTTAACAAAAATCTAAAAATAAAAACATTTCCTTCCAGTGTTTTCAAACACTATATACAAGAAAAGAAAAAAAAATGCCTCCAATTTAACCCCTAACTTATGAAATAATTTGGATATGGCCAGTGTCTAAAGTTTTATAATATCCATTTAATAACATGTTATAACTATTTTTCGCTTATGTGCTTATTCACAGGCAAGATTCAGGCAAGCTTTCATAAGCCAGTACTGCTCTTTGGTAAACTGCTTGTTCAATTCCAAAGGGTTTTTTTTTCCTACTTTTTAATGGAAATATCCACAAACCACTTTTAATATTGGTTCTCCCTATACACCAATCAATAAAGAATGTAATTTTCCTGGTTTATGACATATAAACCAGTATAATTTTTTAGAGTAGCAGAAAATTATGAGAAGATATTTAGATGAAATTTTAAATGACAAATTGTGTAATCTACTAAACAGCCCTGAAAAATTAAAAAATGTCATCTACTATCAAAATAATAATCTACTTGCAAGTATTCCATCTTGCTTCTGAACACCCTTAAAAAACAGCTGTTGTAAATATTAAGTAATTTTGCTCTGATGGAAAGCATTTGATTTGACAGAAGTTTCTACATTAACTATCATTGGAGAAACATGTCCTGATTTTGTCCTACGGACTTCTGCATGCAAAGTAAAACCACCGAGTAATTTTTCTAGTCCAGCTGTATTTTCAAGCCGTGATACCACTAGATCAGTCCTGTATCTCTAAATTTAGTCATACAATCTGATTATGTAAGACAGAAAAGGCAGATTTGGCCAGTGTAATCTGACAGTAAATTTAGCCAGATATGTGAGAGCCCTTGAAAACACAGACCCAGCTAACAAGCATGCTAACAACTTTGGTGCCCAAATAGGGCCACCTTAAAAATCATTACAATCTACTGAATGTCAATATTCATTTTACAATTTTACACTACCTTACTTTCATGGCTCGACTTTAATTTTAGTGATAATCATTACATGGTCACACTCATAACTCCATCAAAATCTATAGTAACTGGTACGCATACTAGTTACCTTAGATTAACAGCAAGAGTTCTGTCTACATGTACATATCAGTGCAAAATCAAAGAAATCTCTAAAAATGGACAATCTCCCTGTCAAACTGGCTTACTGACAACAGTAACATACGGTTGCACGAAGTAGTCTGCAAGAAAGTTTACTGACGAGCTCCTTTTCCCTATCTCTGCTGACATAATTTATATTAATACAGAAGTGAACAAAGCAGCATCATTCTGACTATATTTCTAAGTAAAACTCACCAGTTTAGAGTAACCTTATCACTGCCTTTTTGAAGGACAGATGGATACTAGATTGCTTCCAACAGCCTGAGCTAAGCAGCCTCCAGTGAAAAGCTTAGCACCTCTACTTGCACTCAGATCACAAGGCTGTATGCCAGGAAAGTAGTAAATACCTCAAAGCATAATTCCCATTCATATAAATATACAAACTAAAACTTCATACATATAGGCTGAATTCCTAAGAAAGGAACAAAGATTTTTTTATACAGTATCTGATCCCAAAATCTCTCAAAACTGGATTCTTACTGGATTACTTCATATTAGCAACACATCAGTATACAACATCTTCAGCAACTGTAGTATCAAAAATTTGGTAATAAACTTGACGTTTCATCGCATCTCTGACATTATAGGACTTGATGAAGCATTCCAGCCATGGCAAGTCATCTACAAACAAAACCCCAATTATTGCTTAATACTAATTTCTAACTTTTATAGGAGAGAAGTATAAATTGAGCAGGATCTTAACTAGGATGTCTAAATGCATATGACAGTTAATAGGAAGAAAAATTAATTACTAATTTTGAAATTCCAATTTGTATCTTAAAATTTCCCGCACCATCTGAAATGGTGTTCAGTGACAATCTTCCAAGCCTCGCCCTCCCTGCCCCAGCACCCCCCCAAAACACTTGGTACCAGTAGTTGTACCACAGTATAGCAATATAAAGACTTTCCAATAATAAAAACCCATCTCCATGTGTCTCAATAAGACAATTGCATTGGTCTCAAAGGGAACATTCTTTTCAGCCTTTACAATACGGCCACTTTTTATAAGTATGGTAAAGACTCCAGCGCGGTTGTGGTGGTCACTGACAGCCAAGTACTTAGAGGGACTACGCTCCGGAGGTGGGAGTCGTGGCAGAGACATATAGCTACCTTGGATGTGTGTAGTTCAGGCAGAGCTACATTCTGCCACAACAGAAATACTGCACAAAACCCTCTGTGATTGGATTTGGATTAAGTTTTTACTCAATTTCCATGGATGTTTCCTGTGGCAAGGGATGCTCTAAATCAGCATATGCATTCAAAAATAGAATCTCACCCAAAGCATGTGCCATACACTGAATTCCCTTTAAGTTTTCCCCCAGTGCTGTGACATTCAGTATGAGAGTGTTCTGGTTAACTTCCATGTGAATACAAATGACATGTTAGTGCCTGCATAGACATGACTGTATTCACACATCACTGCATGCCTCATGAGAATTTACTGAACCATTACTTTTCTTTCTCAAAAGAGAGTTCTACTACTAAAGAAATGTATCAAAACAAATTAACTGGAACTCTCCTTACAGACTCCTGCATTTCTCTGTTCTGAGTTTTGCCCATGCATAAGTTGAATTCTAAGACTTTGCATGTGCAATACAGATTGAAAGACCCTTTCCCTTCCCATGCCCCTTTTAAAATAATGGCAAGCTGACCTAATTTTCTTCCTGGAGGACAGAGCGTATTCATGGTCATCTGCATCTTTTGCTGAAGAAAATTATTAGTTAAGATTTCAGAGGCAGGAATTTGGAAAAACTTTTCCTGGAAGAGAACAGAAAAGTATGAGGTATTGGAAGACCGGTAAGAAATCATCAGCCTGACTGCATGTTCTTTTATCACTTAAGGAACTTAAAATTATCGAGATAAGTAACACAACAGAAGAACAATATTATTTCTAAAACTGTTCAGATACAGTAAAAAAACAAACTTTCTGAAAAAATTAATAGTCTGTATTTCAGTACCCCTGAGTATTCAGGGACTACAGCCACCCAGAAAGCACACATGTAGGTCTGTATATATAACTGGCAGATATTCCTCATAAACCTCCAGACAATGTTATGGCCGGAGAGGACGGTCAGTCCTCCTCAACAGTCCCTCACTGCAGTGCGCAGAACATTTTGAGAGGAACAAAGTCACCTGAAAACAAGGGAGCACTGCAACCTGGCTTCATACAAGTGGAACACCCTTAGTTTAAGTTTCATTTGTTGATAGTTTTAGAAACAATGGAGAAAGGCTTATACTGTGGGATACATTTCTGAATGGAGGAGTAAAATAAAGAGTGGAACACTGAAACATTAAATAAACCTTTTCTGTGTATTTTTAAACCATATACAGTAAGCATGCCTGACAAAACTCGCATTTTAATCTTTCCAAGTTTGTTACCTGATTTTGTATCTCTAAAGGCTCATCATCTTATACCTTCTCAAAGTGAGCTAAGGTTTTTGATAGCAATTTCTCCTTTTTGTTAAAAGATACAAATACAGAGTAATCTGCCTTTGTATAATTTTTGTATGACATGTTTAATGGAAGTGATCAGAAGTTAGGGGATAATCCAGCAGCAAAATTGACTACTTTTTTTTCCTCTCATTCTTCCAGTTCTTCTTCTACTATAAAACTTTCTGATTTTTTTTCCTTCAATGACTTTTCCTATAAAAAGGAGAGGAAAGAAAAGAACTGAGAGCATTCCTACAGAAGTGCGACTGGAAACTAGTGTAAAGTTGCACTTCAAAGTAGCCCAGTTCCTTCTCAGGAAGTGCTGAAGGACCCGAGTTTAGGTTTGGAAGGTATTGGATTGTC